CCCCCCAGTGCTCCGAGTCTTTCACCTCCTTCTCCCCAATTACACTAAATGAATTCACCTCAATAATCAGTCAGATGAAACTCTCATCATGCTCATCAGATATCTTAACTCCCTCTGTTTTAGTCGGGTCCCTTGCCTCTATCAGTCCATCTCTGTTGACTATAATCAACAGCTCACTGAGCCAAGGCTGTGTTCCATCTTAAGCCTGATTTATGCTTCTCCGTCTGCGTCAGTGCGGAGACATGCAACGCCATTATCCGTCCTTGCGTAGGGCTCCGGCAGGCACGCAAGTACGTACGGAGTCGAGCCCACTTTTTTAAACATCCGTCGAACGAGACAGATTACACAAGCTTGTGATTGGTCAGGACACCGCTGTTGTTTACAGCGCCGCCATTGCAAAGAGAGCCGAGGATAACTAGCGGCAGACACGGAGAAGCTTGAAGAATACCTCGCGAAAAAACTCTAAAAATATGAACGTTTAATTCTCCCGTGACTGGAGGAGTGAAAAGATGCGCAGCAAGCGTTTTATTTGTGGACGGAAATGACAGGAAACGTGGGTTTAGAGGTGGGGAGCGCATGAAGCAGTGGGAGAATGAGAGACATATCTGTCCGTGTTAAAAGTCTCTTATATACACAAAAAACACAATATAAACACACGATCTTGGACCGATACATGACAGGATACCACAGAACAGCGCTACGCCCTCTGTTGTCCTGCCGGGCAATTGCTTTGCAACACTCTCCAGGAGATGGAGAAGTAAAAGAGCAAAACGCTTCCGTCAATCCGTGCGTGTCTGTCCCTTGCGGAGCTGACGGAGAAGCATAAACCAGGCTTTACTTTAAAAATGCAGTAATGACTGCTCTCTTAAAGAAACCCAACCTTGACGCCAGCTCCACCAGTAACTTTAGGCCCATTTCTAAACTACCTTTCATCAGCAAAGTACTTGAGAAGGTTGTTGAAATCCAACTCAGATCTTGGTTTTCTAAGTCAAAGGTCTCTGACCCCTTCCAGTCTGGCTTTCTGAAGCAGCACTCAACTGAGACTGCTCTAGTAAGGGTGCATAATGACCTCCTGATGGCTTCTGATGCTGGGACATGCTCTGTCATGGTCCTGCTAGACCTCAGTGCAGCTTTTGACACTGTAGACCACAACGTTCTACTAAACAGGTTAAAGGCCCTGGCTGGGATTTCAGGTTCTGCTCTAGACTGGCTCTCTTCCTATCTCACTAACAGAACATTCACAGTGAAGTCAGAAACCTTCTCTTCAGATACTGCCTCTCTAACATGCGGGGTCCCACAAGGTTCAGTTCTAGGGCCTGTACTGTTTGCATTCTATATTCTTCCCCTAGCTGGCATCATTCAGTCTTTCCCAGACATCTCCTACCACATCTACGCTGATGATATTCAGCTCTATATGTCCTTTATGCCACACCAGGTGGACAGGCTGGCCACACTTGTACTCTGCCTGACCCAGATCAGTAACTGGCTGTCCAGCAACTTTCTTGTCCTCAATGCTAACAAGACAGAGACCCTGATCGCTGCACCCCCGGAACTTCAGCCAAAAATCGAGCAAGAAATTGCCTCTTTTTGCCCATCAGCCAAGGCCAACATTAGAAACCTAGGAGTTATTTTTGATCCAGCTTCAAGTTTAGACTCACACGTCAAAACCATCTCCCGCTCTTGTTTCTTTCAACTGAGAAACATTTCAAAAGTCCGTAAACTGGTTTCTACTGCAGATCTGGAAAAAATCATCCATGCCTTTGTGTCATCACGCTTAGACTACTGTAACGCTCTTTTTACTGGTCTCAGCAAAACCTCCCTCTCACGCCTTCAAGCCATCCAAAATGCAGCAGCCAGACTCCTAACCAAATCCAGCAGACGAGCTCACATCACTCCAGGTTTACAGTCCCTCCACTGGCTCCCGGTAGAATATAGAATACAGTTTAAAGTTTTAGTCCTGACCTATAGAGCTCTTAACAACCAGGCTCCAAGCTACCTATCTGAGCTTTTATCCCCACACACCACCTCTCGGAACCTTAGATCCACATCTGAAAACCTCCTGGCTGTTCCTCGAACCAGACTGAAAACCAAAGGGGACAGGGCCTTTCAGACTATTGCACCCAGACTCTGGAACAGTCTACCTTCTAATCTCCGTCTCTCTAACACTGTAGAGGTCTTTAAAAATCATCTAAAAACTCACCTTTTCATCCAGGCGTTCCCTCCCTAAATGTTCTAAAAGATGGCTTTGTTCGGGTTCACACCTTCACTTTGTTTATACTCATGATTTTATTTTCTACGTTTATCACTGCTATTGCTTTTCTGATGTTTTTATTGGTTAGAGGTATTTGCCCTGATCTTTATCATGTTGTACAGCGCTTTGTGATTTATATCTGAGAAAGGCACTATATAAATAAACTTTACTTACTTTACTAACTTACTTTATAGAACAACCCTCTGGATGGATCTACACTAACATGGGGACTGGAGCTAATCCAGGAAAACATCAGAGAAGAAGTTGTGTGTGGCGAGGGAGTGGGTGGGCTGTGATTGACAGCTTCACACCAACCTGAGCAATTGACAGATTTAAAAAAGGACCCACAGGAATGTTTTTTTTATTTCCCGTTTCACATCTTCTCTACCATTCAGCTGGCTCTTTAAGACCCCCACCTCCATTTATCCATCTGAGTTTCAGCTCTTCATGCCCTCTGACCTTAACCTTCACTCAGCTGCATTTGCTTTCATCTTCTCCCTCGGTCTCACTCAGACTTGACTCCCCTCTCTTCTACCCTTCTTTGCTCCATCAACCATCTCTTCTGTCCTCCCTCTCCTGATGATTCCTGCTTTATTTTTCATGTTCATCCTACTTTCCTCTTCCTGTTCTATCCCTAAGCTTCTGCTCCGTCAATAGTTTGATTATTATTTCTGGTTCTTGTTTGTCTGAACTCGTTTTTCTCTCATGTTTCACTTCTTTAATCTAGTTTGGTCCTGCTGTTTCTGTTTTCCTTCACTTGTCCCCCCAAGGCGCTTTACAACACAATCAGTCATTCACCCATTCACACACACAATAACACACTGATGGTGATGAGTTACGATGTAGCCACAGCTGCCCTGGGGCGCACTGACAGAGGCGAGGCTGCCGAGCACTGGCGCCACCGGTCCCTCCGACCACCACCAGCAGGCACGGTGGGTTAAGTGTCTTGCCCAAGGACACAACGACAGCAACAGACTGAGCGGGGCTCGAACCTGCAACCTTCTGATTACGGCGAGCCCGTAACTCCTGTGCCACCGTCTCCTGTATGTGTGTGTGTGTGTGTGTGTGTATGTGTGTGTGCGTGTCTGTGTTGGTGTGTGTGTGTGTGTGTGTGTGTGTGTGTGTGTGTGTGTGTATGTGCGTGTGTGTGTGTGTGTGTGTGTGTGTGTGTGTGTGTGAGTTGAACCACTTTCATGTCAGGTGATCAGATTGCATGTAGACACACATTTATTTAGCATTTTAGATGTTTTCCTCCTCTACGTTAGGGTGGGCGGGGCCTATAGTTCCCCTATAGATAAGCTGCCTCTGATGTCTAGTTAGTTGTAATCGAAGAACAGCTGACTGGGTCCAGCTCACGCTCCTAACACTCATCACCTCTAACCTCATGCAGCCCGTCTCTTCATGTAGTAGTTTTGATCCAAGGCTCAAACAGAAGAAACAGTGCCATTTTCTTTTTCCCACTGATTCAACAATGTTTTTGTTTCTGTCGAGTGGCCGATGAGGTTTGGAGTTGGACTTGAACTGGAAGATTCTTTTTGGGATTTGACTTGGACTTGGTTTAGACTGGTCCTGTTAGACTTGGACTTGGATGAGGACCAGAATACTGAGGACTTGTGTGGGACTTGGACTTGGTGACTTGACTACAACACTGTCTGTAATAGCATATTGCATTCTTATGAGGCTTGTTATAGTAATGCCATGGTGGTGGATGAGGTTGTATGCTCGCGCTGAAGGCCCAGGCCCACTGACAGGTTTAGCATGACGTGGTTCTGATCCATTTGCTTCGCGACAGAAACTCTGCTTTCATTTGGTGAAGAATACATTCCCGGAGATTCGCTTCTCCAGTCATCAGCACCATTTTGCTGCTTTTATTTGAACTGGAAGTAATCAGGGTAAGCTGTTATTCAGCTTCTCCCTGATCTGCCCCAAACTAGAATTTGATCGTATTAAGTCTGTAATACTCGTTTGTGTGTTATATTTTTGCTTTTAGGACAGCTCTAGGCTTTCCCATGCATATTTTAGGTGGAGCTGCTGATGATAAGAATCTGTTTCTGTCTCTAAGTAAAATTAAATTATGAGTCCAGGTGACTCAGTCCCACCTGGACTAATTTCCATGGTCTGTTCTGTTCATTCAGACATGAGTTTTTCTCTCCACTGTCGCTACATGCTTGCTTAGTTTGGGGATTGCTGTGAAGTCTTTGACACCAGAAGTCAGGGCCTGTTGGGGAACTTTTAACTCATCAGCATAATGAACTGAACTGAATGCCCTGATAAGTTGATTCAACTGGAAAGCTTACTTTGTGAAGTGCCTGGAGACGGCTCTTGTTCTGATTTGATCCTATAGAAATAAATTGAATTGAATCAAACCTTTAAAGGCACACTTGGCAGTTTTGACTTGCTTTCAACACACCCTGGTGTCCGTTTAGTCAAACCAAGAGTGAAACTCCTCTCCTCGCTGTGCGATCATCTTTTTAACACCTTAGTCTAACAGCCAAAATATCTCCCCAGCTTTCAGTAGTGTCTACAGAAGTGATTCATCATGAAATTAAACAAATCAGCTGCGTTCATGATCTAAAACATGCAGGAAACTTGCTGGAATCAGACTGCAGCTGCAGGTACGTCAGCTCCACTTTACTAAATCCAACTGGGACAGGATCAGAACTCTGGAGTTGCAAGTGCGATATACTGGCCACACTCTGTGAGTGTGTCATTAATGTTCTCCTCCCTCCTGCTTGGTTTTGTGTTGCAGTGCCATCATTCTGGGGTCTGGTGAACTCGGCCTGGAACCTGTGCTCGGTTGGGAAGAGGCAGTCTCCTGTAAACATCAAGACCAGTCACATGATATTTGACCCCTTCCTGACGCCCATCAAGCTGAACACAGGTGGACACGAGGTAAAGCGTTTATGTGTTGCAGGCTCTGGTTTCTTTGTGATCCTCAAAGACAGTGGTTCCCAATCTGGGGCCTGTCACCCCCCAAGGTGGTCCCCAAAAGTTTACAGAGGTTACCAAGTTTATACTCGTAAAACTGGAGTTTATAAAATCCCAAAAACACATCCAACAGTATTACAGTTAAAACTCTGTATGTCTTTATGAAGTTTTTCATTCAGGTGGAGTTCGGGTCGGGGCCCCCTGCTTGTCTTCGGAACATGAAAGGGGGTCCATGTGGTTGGGAACCACTGCTTTAAGAGGTACTACCTCACTACTTGGGTCCCACTACCTGACTGATGATAGTAGTCATCTCTAAGAAGCTCTCCCTGCTAGATAAAATAAAACATAAACTGCGTGATGGTGGTCCTTGTAGTTTTATAAACTGTGTGATGGTGGGTCCTTGTAGTTTTATAAACTGTGTGATGGTGGTCCTTGTAGTTTTATAAACTGTGTGATGGTGGGTCCTTGTAGTTTTATAAACTGTGTGATGGTGGGTCCTTGTAGTTTTATAAACTGTGTGATGGTGGTTCTTGTAGTTTTATAAACTGTGTGATGGTGGGTCCTTGTAGTTTTATAAACTGTGTGATGGTGGGTCCTTGTAGTTTTATAAACTGTGTGATGGTGGTTCTTGTAGTTTTATAAACTGTGTGATGGTGGGTCCTTGTAGTTTTATAAACTGTGTGATGGTGGGTCCTTGTAGTTTTATAAACTGTGTGATGGTGGTTCTTGTAGTTTTATAAACAGTGTGATGGTGGTTCTTGTAGTTTTATAAACAGTGTGATGGTGGGTTCTTGTAGTTTTATAAACAGTGTGATGGTGGGTTCTTGTAGTTTTATAAACTGTGTGATGGTGGGTCCTTGTAGTTTTAGAAACAGTGTGATGGTGGGTCCTTGTAGTTTTATAAACTGTGTGATGGTGGGTCCTTGTAGTTTTATAAACTGCTAATAAAACTGAAGCAAACATCTCTGCTGTGAACTAAATCTACTGTGTATCTTCCTTTTGTCGTTCTTTTTCAAACTGTTGATTTTCCTACTAGAATGTCGGACTTATTGAGTTCCGAGGAGAAAGCGAATGCACCATTAGCTGATAGCAACAGAAGCTAAAGTATTGCGCTAATGTTATCTTAACCCGTTTATTTACCTGCTGGAGCAGATTATGGTGATGACTCACTTAGATCATTGTTAATGTTGTCATCATCGCCCAGTCACTAATCACATTTAGTGAAGTAGACCCAAACTTTAGAGGCTTTTTGTTTAACTTGCTGCTTGCTGTCTTTACAGCTGGTTTGCTGGCGGCATGACCCTCTTCCACACGTGTTTCTGTCTATCTTGGGAAATTCCTGTACCAAACTCTATGGTACCAAAACAAGGCACTGTTTCATATCACCTGAATCTGTCTTTAGTCGGTATCACAGAGTGTGGACGGGGCCTTAAAAAGTACCCATCCCTAGTAGCCCTGTTTCCACTGTTTGAACTTCAGGGTAAATTTACAGGAACTTCCCAATGTGCCTTTGTCTCCACTTGACCGGGCCGGCCGAACGGCCGTTTTCCGGGCCATTTTCAGGAACATTCGGATCACCTGATCAGGGGCAGGTTCTCGGAACGGCCTGGGGGAGTAGCTGAGCTGATTGGTTGTAACCCAATAGGAAATTATATCGCCAGACGTTGTCCAAAGCCACCAGTGTTAGTAAAATGAGAAGAGTTGCTGGTGAGATAGAATGGAGGCAAAAGAAAAGAAGCACAGATTGTGCTTCAAAACAAACTCCCGACACCAGAAAACACGGGAAAAACTGCCCCACAACTTAATTCGTGGGAGTTTGTTGTTTCACAGAGCGCTGTAAAAAACGTAGCTTCTTCTGGTCATTGAATGGCACATTTTACATCACACAGCTGCTCTCGTCATTATTATATGCTTCCATAGAGTAAATGCGTTTTTTTTTTTTGTTATTAAAGTTACTGCAGACCCTTCTTGGCACTGATCAGTCACATCACTAGCTGCCGAGTTACAATAAGCTGACGTCTGAAAAGGCTGAGTTTGAATGGGGACACGACAGCTGAGGTACTCAGACTGTGAAAAGGCTTCGCTGGCCACCATGTGCGAAGTTTAAAACTTATCTAACTACATCGGTGGACAGAAAGTCCTTGTTGAAACTCAACATCAGCCAGTGACCTGCTTGAATAGTCATTGCGTCGGAGCTGGTGTGATGAAAAGTTACGGGTTTTTGGCCTCCAACCGGAAGCCCACGCGTGTTGACAGCTCTGAGTTTCAGACAAGCTCACAGCTCATGCTAAGTGACTGTCTTATGGAGAATCTAACTCGGTTTTTCAGTGGAATTATTTTAACGGCTCAAAGAACAATCCTTTTTTGAATCAATAATTATTATTGGCTCAATCCACCACCAACTCATCAGACGTGAAATCGTCCACCAGAAGCCACCTGGGAAGTATCTTTTCGGCCAGTCGTATGTTTGCTGAGGGGACCTACAATCTTCAGAGACATCAGACGTCCACTCTCTCGCTTGCCGAAACGGCTTCGCTTGCAAACGGGATCCCCGAGAACTTCCACTGTCCTGGTGCGTAGGCTCTTAATTGGAGTCAGAGTGGTTGATATTAATCTGATAACTTGTTAAATTACATCCAACAAACAGCCAGATTTATTTTATAAACCCAGACATCACACCTTTCTGAGTCACTAAGTGAAGCTCTTGAACACACCAGGGGCCTCATTTATCAAGCTTGCTTACCCACAAAACGGGGTCGGAAAACTGCGTAAGCAACTTACCACGCAAACTTTGGGATTTATGAAAGAAAACTTAGCGGAAAAATGTGCACAACTTTAAGTTGACTAAGGACCTGGCTTACGCACATGTTGGACATGGAAAGCACCTGCAGTGCTGCTGCTGAGAAGGATAAAACTTCGAAATCCTGCAGTATTATCACTTGTACTGCTTCGTTTTCACACAGAACAAGACCCCCCACACTTTTTGTGGTGGATTTTTTATATCCGCCACAGATCTCTCTGGAGAATTCACAACATTGACGGCTTCAGCAATGCTGTGCCACTCCGTGGATTTTCTCTTATCCATCCATCCATTTTCATCTGCTTATCAGGAGTTGGTTCACGGGGGCAGTAGCCTAAGGCGAGAGGCCCAGACTTCTCTCTCCCCAGCCACTTGGGCCAGCTCCTCCGGGGGAATCTCAAGGTGTTCCCTGACCAGGTGAGAGACGTAGTCCCTCCACCGTGTCCTGGGTCTACCTTTAGGTCTCCTCCCAGCTGGACGTGCCTCCTGGACCAGGGAGGCGTCCAGGAGGCATCCTGACCAGATGGCCGAGCCACCTCAACTGGCTTCTCTCGATGTGCAGGAGCAGCAGGTCTACTCCGAGCCCCTCCCAAATGACTGAGCTTCTCACCCTATCTCTAATGGAGAGCCCAGCCACTCTTCGGAGAAAACTAATTTCGGACGCTTGTATCTGCATTCTCGTTATTTCGGTCGCTATTCCCTCTCCAGAACCCCTGAATAGACCTTACCAGGAAGGCTCAGGAGTGTGATCCCCCTGTAGATGGAACACACCCTGCGGTCCCCCGTTTTAAATAAGGGGACCACCACCCCGGTCTGCCAGTCCAGTGGGACTGCCCCCGATGTCCACGCAATATTGCAGAGCCGTGTCAGCCAACACAGCCCCACAACATCCAGAGCCTTAAGGAACTCCGGGCGGATCTCATCCACCCCTGGAGCTTTCCCACTGAGGAGCTTTTTAACCACCTCAGTGACCTCAGCACCAGAGATTTGAGAGGCCAACTCAAAGGCCCTAGATTCTGCTTCCTCACTGGAAGACGTGTCGATGGGATTGAGGAGGTCTTCGAAGTAATTTGCCCACCGATCCACAACGTCCTGAATAGAGGTCAGCAGCACACCGTCCCCACTATAGATAGTGTTGGTAGCGCACTGCTTTCCCCCCTGAGGCGCCGGATGGTGGACCAGAATCTCCTCGAAGCCGTACAAAAGTCTTGCTCCATGGTCTCACCGAACTCCTCCCATGCCCGGGTTTTTGCCTTGGCAACCACCCGAGCCACGTTCCGCTTGGACCGCCGGTACCCGTCAGCTGCCTCTGGAGTCCCACAGGCCAAAAAGACCTGATAGGACTCTTTCTTCAGCTTGACAGCATCCCTAACCGCTGGTGCACACCAGTGGGTTCGGGGGTTGCCACCACGACAGGCACCAATGACCCTGCGACCACAGCTTTGGTCGGCCACCTCAACAATGAAGGCACGGAACAGGGTCCATTCAGACTCAATGTCCCCCACCTCCCCCGGAACATTTTGGAAGTTCTATCGGAGGTGGGAATTGAAGCTCCTTCTGACAGGAGGCTCTGCCAGACGTTCCCAGCAGACCCTCGCGATACGTTTGGGCCTGCCTGGTTTGACCAGCATCCTCCCCCACCATCTGAGCCAACTCACCACCAGGTAGTGGTCAGTTGACAGCTCCTCCCCTCTCTTCACCCGCTTGTCCAAGACATGCAGCCACAGATCAAACAAGATGACAACAAAGTCGATCATCGAGCTGCAGCCTAAGGTATCCTGGTGCCAAGAGCACATATGGACACCTTTATGTCTGAACATGGTGTTCATTATGGACAATCCATGATGAGCACAGAAGTCCAATAACAAAACACCACTCAGATTTTGATCAGGAGGCCATTCCTCCCAACCACACCACTCCAGGTCTCACTGTTGTTGCCCTTGTGAGCGTTAAAGTCCCCCAGCAGAACGAGAGAATCACCAGAAGGAGCACCCCCTCCAAAAGGTGGGTAGTCTGAACTGTAGTTTGGTGCATAAGCACATGGTGCGGGGGGACGGGTACTGACTGTTGTCCAAATCAGATTTGTCTTTATTGATATGCAGAAAACTAAAATGGACATGAATGCAAAAACCAAGCAACTAATTATCTATTAACCGAGTTAAAG